AGAAATTTTATATGTGAAAAAGAAGTTTTTTAAAGATTTCTCAAGAACTACCAGGCCAATTTTAATATCCTTTCAGTGTTAAGTACATTTTGATGAGCTCTACAACTTTTGTTAAAAGCTAAAGAGTGATTTACTTAGTATAAAAAAAAGTTTTAGATACAGGCTCAGTGCATTCACACTTATAGTAAAATTTATATATAAAAAAAAAAATTTTTATCCAGTTGACTAGAGAATTGCCTATTAAGTAAAATATTAGAGTAGAGCCACTATAGCACATATTGTAGCTAAGATAGACAAGGTAGTATCAAATATGATACACGGTCTTCAAGTCCCTCAACATGGCCCTCAAGTCTCTCAAGTCCCTCAACTCCTTTAACACAGTCTTCAATTCCCTCAACATGGCCCTCAAGTCCCTCAAGTCCCTCAACTCCCTCAACACAGCTTTCAATTCCCTCAACACGGCTCTCAACTCCTTCTACTACTTTGGCTTGGCATGTAAAAGATATATAAAAGGTGTATTTCCCCCTTTTGCTTAGTTTAAAGTTCATACTCCTCTCATAGCATTAGATATTTCTCTTATTCCCTCTTGTAAAGTGTAATATTCCCCCTCTAGGGTAATTCTTACAGGCAAGGCTTATTATCATCTCTTATTTTAATAAAGTTATATACTGTTACTATCTCGAATCGTCTGTCTCCTGATATAATCTTCTTTAATTGATTTATTATTATTATTATTATTATTTTATTTTATACTTAGAGAGTTTATACTTTGATCTCTTGCAAGTCTGCCAGCTTATTGTATTAAATAGCTATAATTGTATTAATTGTATTGAATTTGATTATTATTTCTTTTATTCTTTCTTCACACGCATATTATTATTTTTTATATATTTATTGGCCAAATCGTATTTTATTTTATTTTATCTCTACTACTAACATTATCTCTGGAAGATAATTTTGTTAACTCTTATGACAGATACTCTCTCAAGGTTTCATCAAAACAATATCAACTTACACCAACTTGAACATATTAACCCAACAGCTGCCGCTGTTGAAGTATTGCAAGCTTATTCTCCTGATTTATCATGTAAACTGTGCTATTCTCCTCAACATAGCTACTTTATCAAATTTTGGTGACTTTTGGAATTGGTATTCTAGAACTTATAACGCTATATCTTATAGTTCAGTCACTGAGCAAAGTTTTAAAAATTTATGTACTGTTAACTGGAAACTTGCTCGCTCTGCTGCTCGTGATATTATTTTTAGTTGCAGATACAGTGATAATATACTAGCTCCTTGTCCTGTAATTTCTATTTTATTCTGACATTTTACTTCGTATACTAACATTCCACAGATTGAAGAAGCGAATCAAAATCACTACGATATATATATTGATCGCCCTAATAATTTTTCTTTACCTATTCAACATATTCAATATTCTGAGGAATTAGAATCAACTTCTCAACACTTAGAACATATTGACCGCTCTATTTAAGTTACTACATTTTCACCTGATACTACTACAATTTTTGAATCTAATACTGAACAACAATTTTATCAATTTGCTGAAGTTCCTGAAAATATAACTGATATTCATTTTCCTATACTAACTACTGAGTTCTCTTTTTCTTCAAACAGTACTGATCTTTTAGAAGCTAATTTTTATACTCCTACTCCCAATTCTATAATTCCTTCTACTGATTTAACTAATTGAGAGTTAGACACTGATAGTATCAATGAATTAGTGCTATTTAGAGCTCCTCTTTCTTATCTAACCGAGAAACAAAAACAAATTCGCTCTTCTACCCCAGAAACTATTTTCAACGTAGAGCAAGGAAATTTATTTAATAACAACAACAACCAAGTTGAATATATTCCAATATACCCGACTCCTATTGTAAATTATTGGGAAGTAGACCAACCCCAAGATAGGACTGAAATTGACTCTTGAAACCCTGCAACAGGCCCACAATTTCGACAAGTTCCACTTTTTAAAGATACTGTATTACAACTTCCTAAAGGTTTTCCTGGCCAACAAACTTGGGATCACGATCAAAGTCAACCTACTTCACCTATAAGCTCCAACCATACTCAAGTCCATACTGTTGATTATATAACTTTATTCGCTAATAACGAGTTTGCAGGTGATAACAAATCAGAAACAATCAAATTATCTGAAGAAGAATCATTTATAGCAAAATTATTTAAAGAAATAGAATCATCTGAAGAAGAATCATTTAAATCAGAATCAAGTAGTGAAGAAGAAAATATGGCTGCAAATCTAAATACTGCTGTACAAGCTATGGCTCAGCTTGCTCAAGCACTTGAACTAGAAGGTAATGGTGAAAAGAATTTTATTAAAATTGAATCTTTTAGAGGCGATGGAACCCAAGATTCTATTAACTGGCTTGACGAATTCAAACGTGCTATTAAAGCTAATAATTAGAATGAAACTCGACGGCTTGCTTTGGCTAAAGCATATATGAAAGGAATTGCTAAAAAATGGGTTAAAGGATTTATTATACAACGATAATAGCCTATAATAGTCTTGCAGATACTAGTTTCAAACCTCTCTTCAAAACAGGAACCCGGAAAATTTTGGATATCAAATTGCAAAAATTTATTTGGGTATTAACCAATATTTGGATAAAATTTGGATAAAAAATTTAAATATTTGGAAATATTTGGATTATTTTTCATCAGAATGCTAATCAAATAACCCAATTTTTGCATAACCAGGACAAGTGAAAAATTGTATTTAATTCTGGAACCCCCCGACAGACACGCACCACAATTCCTAAATCTTCCGACCAGACTTTATCAAAAATTTTGGGTCTACGATTTTCTGGGTTCCCAAATACTTTATTTTTATTGGTTAGATCACATGAAACTCAAAAATTTGAAAATTTTATTTCCAAAATTTTCATTGCCCCATTTTTATTGGCCAGAGATCACATGTTTTCTAAAAAATCGCCAAAAAATTTAGAAAAATTTGGCTAAACTATGAAAATTTGAAAATACTAAAATTAAGGCCAAAAATTTGGAAAAATTTGAAAAAATTTATTTCCAAATTTTTCCAGGTCCCTGCTTCAAAACCAAATTTAGTGATAATAAACAAAAAGCTCTGTAGCAACAAAGTTTCTTTGAGTTAAAACAAGGAACTTATACCATAGATGCCTATGTTGCAAAATTTAAGAATTTAAAAGATAAAATTATTACACTACCAGAAGCTTTTCTTATCCAACATTTTATTAAAGGATTGTGCCCTGAACCTGCTATACCTGTACAAGCCACCAATAGAGATATTTTAGATGGAGTCATTGAAACTGCTAAATAATGGGAAGCAGGAAGATTAGTTGCATCTAATGATACCGATACTACCAAGGCTATTACTCAACTTACTGACCAAATTGCTAAACTCAGTATCAACCTTGCCCAACAACAACAATAACAACAAACTGCCTATACCATTGAAACAACAAACAGCCAAAAAGGAAAAGACATTTGTTATTATTGTAGAAAATATGGTCATTATCAAAAGGATTGCAATGCCAGAAAAGCAGAAGTTAGACAAAATAACAATTTTAGAAGTAACAACAACAGAAACAACAACAGGAACAACAACTATCACTGAAACAACAATAATAACTATAGCAACAACCGTTACAACAACAATAATCAATCTAATACTTATCAAAAGAATAGAAGTAGATCTCGAAATCGAAGTAGAAGTAGAGATAGAAACTATTCTCAAAACTACTCTCAAAATAGAAGCAGGTCTAGAGATCAAAGTCAAGAAAAATGGGGACCTAGATCTACTCACTCACTCTCACCTTACTACCAAAATGTGAACATGGCTGAAAAATCTAACTCAACTTTTACTCAATCTAAAAATTAGAAAAAACTTTTGGACAACTATTCTATTTGAACTATACTCACTGCCTATATTACTAAAACAAACTGTGAAATTACTAAACCAGAATCTACCAATAACATTACTTCTGTTAAATGTTGTGTGGATATTAAGGACCAAACTTATCCAGCTATTATTGATAGTAGTGCATCTGTGAGTATGATTGTCCACAAAACTGTAAAGGAATTAGGTCTTAAAATCGATGAATCATCACAACGTTTAATTGTCGCTGCTACCGGAACAACATCAAGACCCTTGGGAATTATTCAGAATTTACTTGTGAAAATACAAGAAAGAACTATCCTAATCAATGTGGAAGTAGTACCTGCTACATAGGGTGTGGCGACATAGTGAAGTGGTAGAGTTGTCACCCCCAAGTAGCAAGGTCTAGGGTTCGAATCCTACCGGTGACGAAAATTTGAAAACTACTCCTTGTATA